ATGCAGCCTCGTTTCAAGGCAAATATACCATCGGAAACCTCATTTCCAAGCCAATATAATACCAATAAAATTATTACTTACATTGCGCAATTAATATGTTCATATGATCAAATGCTCATGACATTTAAAAGCCTATTAACTAACAAAAAAACTATAAAAAGGTAAAACTACATGATTAACTGAATTTACAACATATCTATTAGACCTAATAAAAAGCTAGTTTTAAAGAAATTGCTAAAAACTAGTTTAAAAATGTGTCTTAAGCAACATTTAAAAGTACCAAAATTTTCCTCATTACGAATATTGACGGCAAGCTGTTCCACAGTTTTGGTGCCACAGCCAAGAAGGCACGGTCACCAACAGTTCTTGGAGCTTGTAGGAGGAGTCCTCTCTTTGACCAGCTCAAGTTGTACCCTCCACTTTCCTTGATATTAGGTATAGTAAGTTCAAAAATATAACTTGGAGCAAGAGTTCTGAAGGCGTTGAAGTTTTGTTATTTACCGACGGAAGACCATACAGAATACTATCACAATAATCGATACGTCCTATTATCAGTGCATGAACCAACTGTGTTGCTTTGGTACTTAAAAATTTTCTTATACGCCAGTCATTTGTGAGATGGTAATACGCGGCTTTACATGTACTATGTATGTGAACTTCTACGGCTAAGATTAGTAGTAATCCAAGTTCCTAAATTTTTACCGGCGCAAACAAAGGGTACACAAGCATCCCCAACTGTAAGACAGTCAACTCGTGAACCTTGTGCCAATTCCTATCGCCTGTTTTATCGTCTGTTTTATCGTCATTAATCTTCAGTTTATCACACAACATCCACGCTCTGATCTCACGAACGCAGAGCTCCATAAAGGAAATAGCTTCGTTAGTAACTCAAGACATAGTCAGGCTTAAAGGTTAAGAATATACACCAGGAAAGTCTCGTTTTGACCACACTAGGCAGTTTGCTGACATACAAGGTGAATAGTAACGGCCCTAAACAGGCGCCTTGTGAAACACCTTGCTTTAACAGGAAAGCGTTGGAATTCGAACAGTTTCCATTAAGTGAAACTCGCTGAAGCCGATTTTATAAATAGGATGCAGACCACTCCAGCGCTGTTCCTCTTATTCCAAAGCTTTTACTGAGACGTGATAGAAATGTGTTCAAACGTATCAAAAACAGCACGTGAGATCGAGTAGAACCAATAGCACCACATGTTGGCAATTCATGGCCATTGTTTCTTAAGAAGTGCTATCTCGATCCGTTCTCAGTGGCCCTGCCTGTAAGCAGACTGTAGCATTAGATAAAGGTCATGATTGGAAAAGTGAACATGCATCTGATCAAACACAGCAAGCTCTTAACAATTTCGACACATACTGCAAATTGCTCACAGGTCGACGGTTATTGAAGTCATTAATACCAGCCTTTTTGAAGCGTGGGTCAACCAATCCTTTCAGACTGACATGATTTGTATGTCACTGGACCTGATTTTTATATCAAAAAGAGCGGTCAATTTTCATCCATCCATTTCAATAAAAGCAAATGGAATCACTTCTCACTATAGCGGTCAACCTCGAACCGTGACTATATGGGGCACCGAAGAAAGAAGAAAAAGCTAACCCTTTTATGATCAAATTATTTTAAGGTTTAAACTCGAAGGTTCATATAGTGTACCCTGCAAGTAGAGGCTACATTTTCGCTGTGTGAGCTGTCGTGCGAAAAGTAGCCTCTGCCAACAACCGTTCAATTTTCTATCGTGCATGCGCGAAATTCGTCACGCGATTCGCAAGCAAAATTAGTCACCAGGTCTGTCGTCAAATGGCGCGAGTTTCGCGGGAATAAAAAAGTTGCGACAACTCTGATCTGCTACCCAAGACTCACGCAATGCTCTAAACCGGTCAAGAACAGGAAAAACCCGTCTTCTAATTTATTCGTCCAGATTTCTGTATGGATTTGAACGGTTGTCGGCAGAATCTACTTTTCGCACGCCAGCTCACACAGTGAAAATGCAGCCTCTGTTCGCAGAGTATACATAGTGTAAAATAATTATAATTTACGTTTGCCGGTATCACTTGTGATAATAATTATAATAATAATAATAATAATAATAATAATAATAATAATAATAATAACAACAACAACAATAAAACTCGCATTGCCAGGATATAGAACAATGTATATAGCCCAATGTATAGAGCGCGCGCTTTGATTGGAAGGTTTCAAAGTACAAAACAATCGCAAGCGTAACTCAACTCTAGCCTTTGCACTGAGTAGCAAACCTCGCAAGCTATTGTAAGCGCAAATAGCCAGCACGAGGCGTGGAAAAAGCCAAGGGAAAAAGGTCTTTGTGAGTTGTTGTTTGTTTCTTTTGTTTGTTTTCTTTTTCTTGGTAACAGAACTAAGTTTGGTTCGACTATCCCAAATCAACAGAGAAAATTCAAAAATTTGCCAGATTTTGAAGTAATAGCAAGGGAAAAAACCTTCTATCTACAAAGGTTGAATTATAGCTCTGTCGTTCGAGCGATTTAAGATTCTTCTCTTATCCTCAGGCCATCGGTATTTCAATTCCGCCCAGAGAGGAAAATCCTGAGGGTCAATAGCTGCCTTTGACGGCGGCAAAGTTATGCAGACCATCCAAGCAGCCGAGTGAGTGTGTGGGTAAATTGATCGAAGTAAGCTCACTTCATACCAAACACGCTTGTGTTCCTGTAGATAAGAAGACATAAATGAATATGATACACTCTAAATCAGAAAGATCTGTTTTAGCCCTAAAAATAGTGCCGTTTCGGTGAGTAAAATACAGTCCTATTTTTGAGTCTAATTTGGCTCCCTTAAATCAGGGTCAATACAGTCAAATTAGCTAGGGCTGATTTGATCCCAAGGATGAAATGGGCCCTACCGTGGGCTGGAATAGCCTTTTGATAGAGCTTTTTGGGCCTAAATTGTGCTCAAATGGTTCCAGGAAGGGCTGAATCAGACTTCGGCAGGCAGGGCTGAATTGACACTTTGGGGCTGAAACAGATCTTTTCAATTTTCAGTGTGAATAAGGAAGAAAGAGAAATATGCGAATTCGACGCAAAGTTTAAGAAATCTTTTTTGTTGGCGTTCTAATCTATGATGACATAGTTTCCTAAAGGCCAGGTCTGAAAACGGGTGTGAAAAATTTCATTTTTTGGTCTGAAATAGGGTCAGGATTTAGAGAACCGGCGGCACACCCTCACCATGAATTCCCTGGCCGGCGTACACCCCTCCCCCGGGTAAGTACCCCAGCTCCTACCACCCACCCAACAAAGCAATCAAACTTGATGGGCAAAAGAACGTTTTCAAACATCCAGGCAAAAGATGTTTTAATTTCTTACCAGATTACATTACAAATTTTCCTCTTCATCCATTTTAGGAGCACAATATATATTAGTCACACTCCATCCTTGTATCTTACGCTTATCTTTAACATCTACGTACGAGTTTGTCAAAGATTTCAATTTCATGGTATCTACGTTAATTCTACCGTTTATGCTTTTATTTCATTATTATTCTTGATTTATTTTCTTTATCCAAAATTTCACCTTGGTTAAACAAACTTAAAATACTTTACATACATATATCCGATATTCTGGACCCAAATAGGTCTTTCAGGGTTAGTAGCCAACAACAACAAAACTAACTAAAAAATAATAATAATAATAAAATGTATACTGAGTAAGAAATTCAAAAGCTAAGTTTCAAAACATAGTTAACTAAAAATCAAGACGAGCTCGGACAATCACGCAAGAAAAGGGAAACTGGAAAAGAAAAGGGAGAGCAAGAAAAGATGGGAATTAAAATAACACCTGAACCGACGACAGTTATACTCTTTGTTTTTATAACGGCTTCTTTGGAGGTTTCACGGGACCTGGAACAGCTAGCGACTTATTCAGCGAAGGCACGATTTTATAATTTACTGAACTAGACTCGCCGAAAGACTTTACTAGGCTTCCATAAAACTGTGTTGCATTGCATGAAAACGAGAAGTTTTCTCAGTAGAACAGACGGCCAATTATATGCAACAGTTCATAATAAAAAAGAATTAACCCATTAAACCTATTCCGATGGATCCACGGGCCTTTCTGAGGCTGTAAATAGATGATAATCGTATTTTAAAATTATAGTCGACACGAAAACGCAAATTTCAACAAGATTTAAGTGTTATATTTCAAGATTTTTTCGTTTGGTTTCTTGTTGTTTTTCTTCGACTTAAGGAATTAGTTGTTTGCTTTTTTCGACCTCGAAGAGTTTAAAGATCTGATTACTCTCACAATTTTTTTATACCGTTATATGAGTTGAAGATTCGCTATTTTTCTCAGCCGTGAATTAATCCGTCGGTGGCTAAAGACTGAACTAAACGCCCCTTTATATTAAATACAATAGCTCGTGATCTTGTTCAAATCTAGCCTAGGTCACAGTGCTGATTATCACAAACTTAAATTGTTTCGTATTCAATCGATTTTTCTCGATGCAGAATGATCGACCTTTGCATTAATTGCAACCCTATGGTTCATTCATCTAACACTATACTCCGATATCACTTTCCGCCATCTTGGATTGCGTGCCGCACCAAAGCGAGGCTGGACGGGCACCCGCTAACAAGTCAACATGGCGGAAGGATTGTTGTCTGCTGCGTGGTCGAAATCTCTCAAAGGTATTCCGTATTTTGACTCATCTTTCATCGAGAAATGGCTTGAGAAGGACGGTAAAGTCCCCAAAAAAGTAATAACTCGTGGTTATAGTAATTTCTGCGAGGGTTATATCTTTGATGTCGAAGGTAAGTTTCAGTCCCGTTGATTTGGTTTTGCTCTGGCTGAGAAATTGTACGCGAACAGTGGTGTGATTCCCATTATTTATGCTGTTTTGGGCATCATATATTGTGTTTCTCCTTCGATTATGCCTTGATTCGATGATTGAAATCCCTGTGATATAATCTATAGTGTATAGTGTATTAAACTTTCATATTCGCCCTTTACTTTCAGTAAAAACTCAAGACACAGAAGTCCTCGTAAGGGCTAAAAGTTATAAATCCCAGCGGAAAAATGAGGAGCCATGGAGGTTACAGGTATTGTTACTGCCTTATTGCTTCGTCTGAGCTCAGACCAATCTAGGAAAAATATCTTAAGTGTACTTTCTGGTTTCTGTTTGTTTGTTTGTTTGTTTGCTCTTTTTTTTACAGTTAGTTTGTTGCTGTTTATTGATTTGCTGGGCACTATTTAAAAAAATGGGATTGAGTAAAAAATAAAATTAAGAACGTTTCGCACAAATTGCAAATCAGATATAAATACATATCAATTGTTTCTTTAGGTGAGAATATCAAGGGATGCAGAAGTTAAAATAACCAGTACCTCATGCAACTGTGAGGCAGGAGCAGGTCTCTGCAATCATGCAATAGGCCTGGTATACCTCCTTGAACACTACAGAAAACTTGGTTTAAGAAGTGTACCTCCCGTCATGTCTAAAACAAGTCTTCCACAGACATGGCATGTTCCACAAAGGACAGCAGGAATTAATCCCCGTGAGGTACAAGAGGTGCTAGTGCAACAGGTAAAACCTCCAAACAGTGATGCTCCTTCAAGAAAGAAAGTACGCAGGATAGATGGTGTACGGTCCACCCTGTACAACCCAATTCCAGAACAATTTGGGGAACCTAAAATTATAGATTCCATGAAGGACATATTCAAAGTATGTAAAGACATGCAAATAAATAGCATTGTTCCCGAAACGAACAGATATGACTTTGTGGACAGTAATCTCGGAAAGGTAGCTTGTGGCTCAGTTATCTCATACCAGCAGCGCCAAAACACAACAAATGACCCCAAAATTCACATGAACATTGACGGGCCAGAAAATCCACCAGCTTTTGATGTGCCATCACTTGAAAACCATTATTTATTTGTTCCCAAATTGGCAGAAATAAACTTTATTGAAGGACTCAGTGTATCACTAGAACAATCTTGTTTATATGAGGAAGAGACAAGGGAGCAATCTGACACACAGAAGTGGCATGACTTTAGGGCACAGAGATTATCTTCCAGTAAATTTAAAGATGTGTGTATACGAAGAGCTGACTTTGAATCATTGGCAGTCAGACAACTGAAGAAGACTGTGCAAACTTCGGCAATGAAGCATGGCATAAATACAGAAGAAGAGGCAGCTTCTGCATATGCTGACAGTGGAGATTGCAATGTTTTCCCTGCCGGGATTGTTATCAACCCATCTTGCCCACACCTGGCTGCCTCTCCAGATCGAAGGGTCTATGATCCCTCTGAAAACAGTCCCTGGGGGCTGTTGGAAATCAAGTGCCCTATTAAGGATTCAAT